AAATTGTAATGCCTTAAAGAGCGCAACTCCAAAACCAAGACGGTGAATTCGTAAAATCTTGCAAAAAGTGCTAGACCAAGACTGTCAAATTGGAATACTTCGCAAAAGGTGCAAGTCCAAGACCAAGACGATAAACCTGTAAAACCTTGCAAAAAGAGCAAGACCAAGACTGTTAAATTGCGATACTTCGAAAAAGGTGCAAGTCCAAGGCCAAGGCGGTAAATTTGTAAAACCTTGGAAAAAAATGCAAGACCAAGACTAAAATTGGAATACCTTGCAAAACGTTCAAGACCAAGACCGTAAAATTGTAATGCCTCGCAAAAGGTGCAAATCCAAGACGAAGACGTTAAATCCGTAACACCTAGGAAAATGTGCAAGACCAAGACGGACCTCGATCGTCACTAGGGAGGACTCGATAAGCCTCGCGTCCGACCACTCGAGTTCAAGTGCGACGCCTCGCGCCGCGACGGCCGCAAGACCGCGGGCAACCGGGAGGATGGAGAGGACCCCCGCGAAACTCCGGGCGCCGTCGCCGAGCGACTATATCACCTCGGATAACGGACCAGACAAACGCAACGGCCATTACGCGCAGCTGCCGCTCCCCCGGCACATCCCCATGACGAACTACTCCGGCGTGAATTTCATATTTCGAAAAATATCACCGGGCCCGCCGGGAGCCTAACCCCTTAGTCGGCGCCCCGGCCCGCAGGTGCGAGGGTGCAGGGTCGGGTACGCAGCCGTTCCTGCGAGTATTGCCCGCAATACCGGCGGAGCACATTATTTTCAAAGTGCGGCTAGGTAGCCCAGGTCGGGGGAGCGAGAAGGAGAGCGACGGGGGAGGAGAAAAAGAGAAAAAGAGGGCACGGGGGGGGGACATTTTTCCGACCTCTCCGAACGGAATTCTGGCTCGCGCGGAAGAGCCCGAGAGGGCGAAGAGGACGGTAGAACGGGTCCCGGTGAGTGAAAGAGAGAAGGAGCGACGAGGACAGAGAATCCACCGAGAGGAAGAGAGAGGCAGAGCGCAGATGCACCGCGGGTGCTGTTTAATATCGGGGCCGCACATGGTTCGCCCGGAGACACATTTCACTAATATTGCCGCGCGACTCCCAGTCACCCGCGCTTTACATATCTCGCGGGGCATTAATATATTCAACACATATGAATATTGCGCGAAAGCGAGGGAGGGCGCCAGAGGAAGGCCGCCCGTCCGCGCGTACATTGGCTAAACCATTGTGCCTATCTCGGGGCTCGGGCTTCATGAAATCTGCGGCTTTCATTGTCCCGCGACAGAGCTTTGTGCTTTGTGCTCGACGACTCCGGAACTATTCCGCGCCTTTGAATAAGGAACTAATGAATGCCCGAGCGTCGCGGCGCCCGCCGATCGGGGCGCCGCGACGCCTCCTCGGCGGATCTCGACCCGGGCCACCCCCGGGTGGAGGACTCGGTGCGTGGGCTCGTCCCCGAAAGGGCCCTGCGGGTGGAGCGGAGGGACGCTGCGTGCGTCCGGCTCGACGGCCGTGGACCGGAGAGAAGAAGCGAGAGGAGAGGCCCCGGTGATGGATCGTCCAATCAGTGCCGCGAGATGGAGCACGGGAGAGAGAGAGAGAGAGAGAGACCGACGGAGCGCGCGCCTACCTCGGCCCGCGGGAGGGGGAGAGGTCACGGTCGGGTCGGTCTTCGACTAATCGAAGAACACGAGGTGGCCCTGCCCGAGGAGGGAACCCTTCCACGATGGCGGACTACGCCGGCGACCGGGACTCATCGGTGGTTTCTTCGCGCCGATTCGAGAAAGGCAGGGATGAAAATCTCTAATGTTTGCTTTACATCGGAAAATTCACCCATTCGGGATGAATGGTTAAAAAAACGTGCGAGTAAACTTCTTTCTCACTTAAGAAATTTATTCACGCGAATGGTGGAGTGAGAAAAAAATGTCTCCGAACCAAAGAAATATTTCATCGAATGGCCCCTAAGAAGTGTTCCGTTAATTCAAAGTATAATTATTTGACTGAAATAAGCTCAAATAAACTGGATGCAACACTTTTTCTTTCGGGATTGTGACAATTTATTTCGGTTCATTATTTGTTTCTTTGGTACTCTTCGAACAAACGTTCAATCGGTTCAACGAATCCATTTTCTCAGGGTGAACCGGCTCCAACGTGATACCGACGCGTTGCGACTGGGAATCGAAATAATGCGACGTTGATTACCGATATCTCGATGTAACGAGTCGTATCGAACCGGTGACTAGAAAATTCACGGAAATGTGCATAAAACATAGGCAATCGTGAAAGTCGCCGAAACGTAGGAACAATTTAAAGGACGTCCCTCGTTATCGAATCGCATCGTCGTATGCGATCCGAGATCGAGGTCATTCGGTTCTGAGATAAGGAAATCGTTTTCACTGATTTTCGAGCGAATGGCCATTGGAGCCCCTCGCCAATGATCCTACGCCGCTGGGTCTGCGGTGGAAGAGCGCGAGAGAGACGGGGGGGTGGCGAAGGGCGAGGGGGAAAAGGGGACGGAGAAGAGAACAGCTAACAATGGCCGCCAACCAAAACATCCGATAAATCTAACCGGCCCGGACCTCAAGCCTCGAGGGGTTTTAAACTCTCTCACCCCTAACGCCGACGCGAGCGCAACCCTTACATTACGCCACGCTCACGGAAAGGGGAGGCCCCGCACCGCGACGAGCGAGGGGACGCGAGGGATGCCGCAGCGGGCGGAGCTCCCGCGAAAAACCAAACCGAGAGAATTCCTCGACTCGACCGACCCGGCCGTATAACGAGATCCGAATTCGGCCCGCCCGAAATTTCGCCGAATTTGTTTGCGGCCGCGTCCTAATTTGTTTCCTCCCTCACAGCCCCATAGTCCGGGCGGAAAGTTGAATCTCGACTCGTCCCGACTGGACTCGCAGATCGAATCGAGAGCCCTCGACCTCTACCCGTACCTCAGCTAAGCCTATCACGTAAATCACGGAGTAGACTTCAAACCTTAAGATGTTACGAAAGTGTTATATAAGTATAGTTATATATATAAAAGTTAAAATAGAAAACTGTGCACCGAATAATCTGAAACATTCGCACGCGATAGTGGCGGTCCTAATGGAGGCCTTAAAACTCGTGAAACTTTATTTTCTAAGGAATAATTTTGTATTTATCCCGGACGAGGACCAAAATAAGACATTTGAAATTTCGTGAGTCTCAAGACCTTCGTTAGGACCTTAACCGTTTTAGTGCCAGGAGTTTTTAAAAATCCGTGTCGGATTGTGACATGAAGCGCGATAGCGTTGCGAATTGACGATCGGGACCAATCATCGCGACACAGTTCACCACAGTACGCGAAAAGCGCGATCGCGCTGCGTGGCATTAAAACGGTTAATAATCACGCCTTAAAGTTTCGTATTATTCGGTACGTCCAGTTTGGAGAAAAGCTTTATAAATATTTAGACTTTTTGATAAATGCAGAATGACCCTTGCATATCTCTTTAACATTTAAAACATCGCTGGACGACAGAGACATCCTCTAGAAAGAGGAAAGGAGAAACGCCCCGGCTCGTCGTCGCCGCACTCGCGACCGGGTCCGTCGCGTGCCTATGAATGCGAGAAACGTCATCGTAATGGCGGTATTAAACGCCGATAAACCACACCCTGTGCAGTGCTTCATCACGGGCCGTTTCCTCCGGGAGCGCTCCCGGATCTCCTCGGGTCGGTCCATCGAGTGCCACTTGGATACACCTCGTTTGGATGAATTTCGCGGTCGCGTCCCACTCTCCCGCGGAGGCGATCTTCGGTCCTCGGGTCGTTCCTTGACGCTTCCTGTATGCACCGCAGCGGATTCTGGGCGGCAACGGACGCATCCATTCGCGCCGGGATCGGCCGTCCTGGGGCGCGTATGTTGGTGCATAGGTGTGGATGCATGCATTCGCGCATATATACATGAGCACGTATATGTGGATATACGTGGTCGTACGCGCGTAGTGGTGTGCGCTACCCGCATCGCGGAGGAGGAGCGCGCCGCTCGAAGTAAGAGGCCCGCATGCGGAGCGCAGGGGGCTGAAAGAGGACGGACAGGTCGGCCCGAGAGAAATCCGCGCTGCCATGGTTACCGTCGCATTCCCGCCTCGCAGCGTTGCCATGGCGACCTCGCTCGCGCGGTCCTCTTCCCTCCGCGGCCGGAGAGAGGGAGAGGGGCCGCGCGCGCGAGAAGGAAGGCGAGCAAACGAGAGCAAAGGAGAGCGGCCGAGACTCTCGCGCACGCGCGCCTCGGCCTTCCTCCTCCCCCTCCTCGCCCTTTGTTTCTCTCCTCCCCGAGGGGCCGCTCCGATGCGCCGCGCCGAGGCCGCCCGCGCGCACGTGCGTTCTCCGGCCAGCCCGCGCGTAGAATGCCGCCGAGTGGCGGCATTTTTTCTCACCTCCTTAGGCAAAGGGACGAGCGAGGAGCGCGATAAATCCCGCGTCCTTGACCCCGCTACGGGGCTCTGGAAGGACCGCTGGATGACGCTTGCCATCGAGAGATTCGAAAGGACGAGTTGCGGATTACACCGACTAATATTTACCCCGATATCGGTGCAGCGATCTCCATATTTGAGAAACGATTAACGTTAATTCCGTATGACGAACGTCTGGGCGGGTTCGATAACGAGCGACGATACGCCTTCAAATTGTAACGATGTCTGGTAATCTCCTACAATTTCCACGTGATTTCGAGTCGGGAAATCCCCGATTTCCCGAGTGAATAACACTCTGCACCTGCCTTTGATTTCTTATGACAAATGATGCCATTCAATCAACAAGTCACGATCGGCCTTAACCACGTAACAATGTTTCGGTGATTTCCAACGATTTCCAGCTAATTTCCACGTGACGTCGCGACCACTAAAATCCATGATTTCCTTAAGGAATAACCCCAGGGATCCCCCCGGGAGGTCAATCCCGGCTATCGGTCCGCTCTCTTTTTAAGACGATCCGCTCTTACGAGATGATCCAAGAGGGTTCACTCACCGGGGCTGCCGAGGAAGACGGAGGAGTAAAGGACGCCGCGACGCGCTGCGTCGCTCGCCGCTCTCTGCGCGTCGGGCGGCGAACTCCACTCCCTGCGTGGACACCATTTCCCTGGAAATAAAGATACGTCGATTAGAGCCCGGGAAGCATGGCGGGGGGGCTTGCCACCCTCCCCCGTGGGTGAAATAACGAAATAACGAAATAATTTCTGAGGGAAGAAGGGGGGGGAGGCCTAATCGACGCGAGTAGAGTGGGGCTCGTAAAGGTGCGAGGGCCACTAAATCAAATCCCCGTGAACCACGTATACGGTCGGTACGCGACCGCGTTTAAAAATCTATAACGGAGTTACGAGGCAGGGGGGGGGGTAGGGCAGCGACATACGCCGAGCGGGGCCCGCAAAAAACCGTTTTTATTCCATAAAACAGTCGTTAGGGGTGCGCGCGGCGGGACCTCCACTTAGCAGGAGGTGCGAGGGGGTGGTCGTACATAAAACGGGGCAGGGCCGTAATTGTCGACGTCACGAGTCCGGGAGATTCTATCGCGTGCCATTTTGTTGGTGGATCTCTCCTTTCCCCCCCGTTCGCCCCATCAAGCCCCGTTGTCGTACAGGTGACACTTTTAGGGAACGATCTCGCAATGATGTATATACACGCTAATCGGGTAATTGGGGAAAATGCCCGGCACATCGTGTACCTCAAGGTGACACGAAAGGGGAAAGTCGAGGAGGCCTCGTTCGTGACACTTTTCTCCGAGTTGGGTACGTCGAATCGCCTCACGTTTGACCACCTGAATAAGGAGGCTGCAAGGAAGGTCCCGAACCCCGGGAAATTTAAATTGAACAAAAATTTGTTTATGGAGGTTTTAGATATTTATTTTATTTTATTTTATTTTTTTTATAAAACGTGAAATTGTATGGATCGCAGGATCTTCCTTATAACTTTCATATCCACGTAGTCAAGTCTTAAATGATTCGATATGTTCGGTTCAAAGTAATATTTCACAAACGACCGACCTCTCAGGTGCCACTTTCGTATCACCTAAAGATTAATATTCTCTCTAAGAAAGTGACATTTCATGGGTGTCGGGACCTTCCTTATAGTCTCTGTATTCGCGTTGGAAGGTTTTAATCGACTCGGTACACCCAGTTCGGAGAAAAGTTTCATCGGCCTCTTTGGCGCCGCTTTCATATCACCTTAAAGAGGGTGGAAGGACTAAACCGGAGAGATACTCGGATAATGGGGATAGGGCACCTGGTGGTCCGAAATCTAGGCTTCCCTTCGTCGCCGGGAGATTAGAGGGTTCGAGAGGGTTCCTGATTTAGAACGAGGCCCGCGGTATTGCAATTTTCCGGATACGAAAATAGGAAAGGTATCTACTTTATTTCTCGAGGAGATCCCACCCGAATGAGGATACACGGGAGGAAAGGGTGGCAAGGAGGATAAGAGTAAGCCGCGGAGCGAAGTAATTTCGCGCCGGAGAGTAGAGGGTGCCACGAGGGAGGCGAGACTGCAGAGGGAGAGAGAGAGATCAAAAAAGCGAGAGGGAGAGAGACTCGGACGACCCCGGGAGGGTACCTCACCGAGGCTGAAATTTCGCCCCAAGAGCGAGGAATCATTTTCCTTCTCCATCCGAGAGGGAAAAAAACGTCGGCATCGACATCGGCGAGAAAAAAAGGAAAGAGAAAAACCGAAAATCCAAGGCAGAGGGGGAGGGGGGGAGCCGAACGATCCCCTTGGAAACTCGAAATAGGTCCTCGGGACCTGATAGACGCGGGGTCGATCCGTCAGGATTATTCGGGACTCATTTGCTTCTCACGCTCCCCATTAGGCCCGGTTTATATCCCGAGTCCTCGTGGCTCGGCGAGGATACGCCCGAAGGATGCCGCGAGGAGCGGACGGCCGAGAGATTTATAGCCGCCAGGAGACAGGATGTAATCATACGCATCACCCCGTCAACCCCGCGACTCTGATTTACCGTGGGAAGTTTAAAAGCCGCCCCCACTCCCCCCGGATTCCCGAAATTCCTCCCTCCCCCCGTCCTTCCTAACCTATCCCATTTTAATTCCGACTTCCAAGGCAGTCCCTCCAATTTCGGCGAAAAGCGCGTAACTCCCCGGTCCTTCTTCTACGTCGCGTTACGAGGAATAAAATTAATAGTTGACCGAAACTAGCACACATTGTTGCCTGAATCGTATATAATTTCGAGAAAGAATTAATTCGTGGGGAAGAAAAATTGATGTCGGTTTAGCCGAATTTTCTTTAGTCGATCTGATTATTTTTTCTTTTGAACGCATTCGATCGCGGGACTTTGTCGCCGTGGTGCATATTTCTTTGAGTCAACCGATGTTTTTCTTTTTTTTTTTAGAGCAGATCGCGCTAAGTGGCCGATAGGTAAAAAGGCGTCCCTTGTGCGCGACGTCGGCGACGCCGTGCCAAATCGAGGGTCAGCTCGGTTCGCGCGTTCGACAGTCATGCCTCTTGGTCGAGTCATGGCCGAGGCGAGTGGACGCGCGCCGGTCGGGCGAACGATCTCGGCAGACCGAATCCATCCGAGGAACAGTTCCACTCGGAAATCAGGGAAAACAGTTTCCTTCTCCGAGAATTCCGATTTGCTTTTGATTTCATATGGAGGCCTGACCTAGATATTATCCTTGGAGCGCGACGCCTCGTCTCGAGGAAGGTCCTTGCCGAGGACGTCTACTCGTCTCGAAGAAGGTCCTAGGTGAAGGCAACGTCTCGTCTCGCGGAAGATCCTGGATAAAACGTCGCCTTGTCTCGCGGAAGGTCCCGGGCGAGACGTCGCCCTTGGACGGGCCGGGTGCTCCGGCTTGGCCCCCGATAACCCCATCACGCGGGGTTGGCTCCGCTCGGTATAAATAAATCAATATAACCCGGTTCCCTGCGCCCTCGGGCCGCCACCCTCTCCCGTAAGGAAGTGACGTACGAGGCTCGCATCCTCCTCGGCGGCGAGGTCGGGGGTGCGAGGGTGGCCCCGCCACCCTGTTATTTCACAGTTAGGCTGCCACCCGCCCCTCGCCGTAAACCCTCGCCGGGCTCCGGAGGAGCGAGCACGAGTCCCCGGGGAAGCTTTTGTCCTCGAGCTGTAAGCGACTTCCTGACAGGCCAAGTTTGCACCTGCTCTCCTTCTGGCGTGCCGCTTCTCCTTCCCGACCTAACCTCCCCTAACCTACCGGAGCGACCCGCCCCTGCGGCCTCCTGCTCTCTCCTCCCGCTCCGTCCATTTTTTACCGCTTAATTTCTACTTCTCCTCCCAAGGAGGGCCGATTGTCTCCGCCGTGAAATTTCGATAAATTTAGACCGGCTGCCAGGTCGAACACGTCCGACCTGTCCGAGTGGCGGACGACTCACTGAACGCGCCCCGGTGATTAATTACGCCCGGCGAGCCGCGATACCCAAGAGCGGTTCTTCGAACGCTCCGCGAAGCCCCCGCCGGGTGTCGCGCGAGAGGAACGCCCGGGTTTCCTATGTCGGACGTCGGCGGGGCTAGGGGCGGCGGGCATTCCGGGACGGTCCCGAGGGCTCAGCCCGCTGCGTCTCGTCGATGGCCGCGACCGGTGCTACAACCGCGCTCGCGCTATGGGCACCGCTCCTTCTCTTTCTCTCCAGCCGACCTCGGGCGACGTCCATCCTCTATAAAATCGCCGGTCGAAACGACCGCCCCAGGATGGAGATAAAAAGAAACAGAAAATAAAGAAGACACCGACGCTCCCCGAGCGGATGCGCGATTATCATTGAGCAAGCAATGGAAACGAAACCGGGGCCGCGGGATAAGATCGGGCCGAAGGTGTTAACGCGACAGCTGGGGGAGTTTTTAGTGCCACCGTCCGCCGGGGCTTCCTCCATAAAACGCAAATTCACAATTAGCACGCGCACTCCCCCCGCCCCTCCTCCCCGGTGGGAATTTATCGAGGAGCGAATCGGTGACGCGAGGCATCCGCAACCCCTTCGCTTCCTGTCGGGACTTTCTCTCCTTTTCCCTTTTCTTCCTCGGGCCCAGGTGTCTTCCTCTAAAATGACCCAGCACCCTCGACCCCTCAAAAACCAAAGAAATATTTCTCTGAGTATCTCCAGACAAATATTTTTTCATACCTCAAAGAATTATTATTCGACCCAAATAAGCTCAAAGAAACGTCGCATCCAACTCGTTCGGGTTCATTTCGCTGAAATAATTGCCCTTTGAATTAACGAACCGTTAATTTGGCGCCGTTCATAGAAACGTATCTTTGGTTCAATGACTTTCGTCTCAGTGTAGGGATTGACGGGAACGAGACACGTGGAACGCGCCGGGCGTGTACTTGAAGGGGGGATGAAAGGGGGGGAAGATCGCCAAGGTGACGTCACCGTGTCATGGCTCGTGACACGCGCATGCAAGGTTTAATTAGCGCTACAATGCCGAATTGTCCGGTCAGCCCCCTGTCTGTTTTCATCGTTCCGGGGGTCCGCACCCCTCCCCCCACCCTTCGATCCCCTCTTTCGCTTTGCCCCCCTCTTTCTGGCACTCTGCCTGTGCGACCCGCGGGGCTCCCCGAGACCGCGTTCTCCGAATTACCGATCCGTAGCAACGGCGGTGCACTTAGCGTAAATTTCCCCGAATCGAGAGTCATCTGGCATGTCCCCGGCTCGAGGGGGAAGGTCTTCGTTAATCGGACCAGAGGCCCGATCGGGATTTATGTAACTGCTGCCGAGCCGGGGGCAATTTATCCCGCTTACCTGTTACGACGGGCGGTAACCCCTTCGGGGGGATCGGTGGCGACCCCCTCGGAGAGGGTCCTCGAAAGTGAGCCGTCACCTCCGCGATAATCCTGTATACTGTTCAACGGTCACCCCAATCGGTCCTGGGACCCGACTCCAGAGTTCGCCCGATCAACTTTCGCCCGCGAAAGTGAAATCTCGCGTACGACTTTGAAACGTTGACCGATGACGCAACATGCGGAAATTTTTCATACGAATCTATTTGCATCCAGCAACAGCCGTGCGAACTCGAGAACAGGAGCCCTGATTCTCCCTGCGATCAAATACGTCCGAAGAAATGTTGTTAGGAGTAAACGAAATTCCTTTAAATCAGCGATATAACTTTTCTTCTCGACAAAG